AAAAAATATATAGTTATATATTTTTTAGACAGATTTATTAATTATTAAAGCCTAAACAAGCTTTGGACAATCTTGGACACTTGGACAATTTTGAACATAAACAAGTCAAAAAAGGCTTTAGACAGCCAAAATGTACAAACTGATTCTAATATATCCAAACTTGGATCTGGCAATCTAGAGATCCATGGTAATAGTAGCATATTCATATATTTTATTAATTTTTTTTTTAAGTTTGGTTAATCTATCTTGATAAGCTGCTTTTATAAAATTTTTAAATCCTTTATTAGATGGTGGTTTAAATTGTAGATCAATTTTTTTTATAAATTGTTAAAATTCTTTTTCACAAAGTGTATTAAAGGATAAAGAATCTATAACAATTTATTAGCTCACACCTGATTTTCAAATTATTGATATGCTTTTTACTATTAAACATATATGATACCTCTATATAGCCAAGAAAATATATAACTATATTAATAATAAAATAAGCAAATTTGGGTTAAATAAAAAATTATTTTTAGGGGTCACTAATAATGGTTTCAATATGAAAAAAGCCTTTACTATATAGGAAGATATTGAATGGTTACTCTGTTCTGCTCATACTCTCCAACTATTGGTAACAAAAGATCTAAAAAAAATTAACCCTTACATAAAAAGGTTCAAAAAATTAGTAAATTTTTTTACAAAGTCAGTTAAACACTCCAAGCAGCTTGATATAGCACAAATAGATCTTGCACAACAAAATTATATTCAAGAAAAGGATGTTGAAATTGTTCGATTTGATCAATTATTAACTCTTGATATAGGTAAAGAAATTGGTTCAAAAGACAAGAATGATGATTATAGAAAAATTGATGAATTCACAATAAAAGTATTACATAATATTACTGATATCTGCATTAGATAGAGCTCTAGTTACTCTTCATAGACAAGACTCTTGAAATTAAAAGATGCAATAATGTAGTTAGCATCTGTGTTGCTCTTAAGAAAAGGAAAAGAAATAAAAAAAAATAGCTAAAAATTGTCTTATTTACTGCTAAAAGATTATGAGTAGGATTTGTTAGAAAGAATTGTTAATATATTAAAACCATTTGAACTTGCAACAAAATTCTTTTTAGAAAGCAAGTATTCTACTCTTTTGCTAATATACCTCATTATTCGTGAATTACAAAATAAATTTATAGATTTTAGTTTTGAATTAAATAATGATAATGAAAATAGCAACGATAAGGATAGTAAGTTTTGTTGGTTTTATTGATTCTACTTTACAAATATGATGATTGTATTTAAAGCTTAATAATAATTAGTAATCATTATAATTACTAATTACTACATAGCATCTACTACTAATCAGAATTGAAAGCAGAAGTTGAATATGTTTTTCTAACTTAATTATTAGATTCTTATAATACTTATTTACATGCTCTACCACTACTACCTGATCTTAATCAAATGAAAAAGCAATTTAAAATTGCTATTTCTGACTCTTTGAATAAATATTGGCTCGATTTCTGTGAAGTTAGATTGGTGGCTACCTTTTTAGACACCCGGACCAAAAAAATATCTGCATTTACAAATAGAGAATGAGAAAAAGCTGAAACAAAATTAAAGAAAGAATATAAGGATTTACAGCACCTTAATATTGTTAGCAATAATCAACCAAAACAACAAACATCAATACCAATAATTAATGAAATAATGCAAAATCTATTTTTCAAAAGTATTTTTGAAGTACAAGATCAAGAAGATATGTCTTTAGATGAAGTAGTAGAATATCTAAAAATTTCTCTTAATAATTATAATGCCAATTCTTGACAATAGTGAAATGAGCATAGAACAGAGTTTTCAATTTTGTCATTATTAACACATAAATATTTGTGCATATTAGCAACATTGGTTCCTTGCGAGAAACTTTTCTCAGATGCAAAAAATCTGATTACTCCCCAACATACACAATTAAGTTCAAAGATTATTAGAAAAATTCTTTTTTTTAAGTGTAATGCTAAACATCTAAGTATGTTAAAATTTTATGTATAATTTTAGATTCAAATATGATTTTTTTTGCATACAATTCTTTTTCATATACAATTCTTTTTTGGATTATTTGCAATAGGCTTAATCGAATAATAATCAAAAAAAAAGACTATACTTATCTAGGCTAAAAAGACAAAGACATTAAGAATCATTTTATCAAAAATGTGCTAACACTTATATCTATTAGAATAATATGCTATAAAATTCTATAAGCAAATACATTATGAAGGTTAAAGGTACTAATGGTAGATATAATCATATTAGATAGGATAACCTAGTGGAAAGGTTTTTATAAGAATTGCAATGATAGCTTGAAAAATGTTACTATTCTAAATTGCATATTATAACCAGAATATGCAATTATCTGTTATATTCACCACAGCTTATATTTGGTTATTGTGGCCATAATATGATTAATAAGAATAAACATAAGAAATTAATGTTATTAATATAGGTAGCACTAAAGATTTTTATGCATAAATTTCATTATTTTTACTGTGAAATAATCTTTTCTAACGTAATATAAATAATACAAGCTTTAGACTAAATCTTGATAATTATTGCTATACAAATATAGTTGGATTATATGATTATTAATTGGTTAAATAATTAATAACTGATTAAAGCAAATAAATATTTAAATGACTAAACAGTTAAAATGGCTAAACAATTAAATAAATAAAATAAACAGCCAAATGATTAAATGATTAAATAGTTAAGCAATTAAATAAATGGCTAAACAATTAAATAGTTAAGCAATTAAATAAACAGTTAAATGATTAAATAGTTAAACAATTAAATGATTAAATGATTAAGTGATTAAAATAAATAATTAAATGATTAAATGATTATTAATTGTATAACTTCTAATTAGACGATGCAATTAACTGTCTGTATAATTTTTCACGGTTCTAAACACTAGTATACAAGCATTCGTATAGGATTGGAATCATATATTTTATATGGTTTTTAAATTCTTTCAGATTATAAACTTTTTTTTATTAAATTATTACATAATTTCAAAAATAGATTATTCACTTCAATTTCATGTATAACATAATCATACTTATAAATATATTCTATATTTCAGTTTTAAGTGCAAAAAAAAAAAACTTTTATGAATTATTTTGTTAAGATGGTATAAGCTATAAAATTTTATTAATTTATATCGAAATTTATTTTTTATTGCAAAAAAAATTTCAGATACTAATTATGTTTGTTATATGTCCTTTTGTGAAATAACAAATAGATCATTTCCTAAATATGACTTTTTTGCTTACAAATAATTGCTAAATTATTTTATATATATGTAATTACTTTAACAATTGCTATCTAAAATAGTAAAAATATCAAACAATACTATTTTAGCAAATTATTATAATTGTTTTAGTATAAATATAAAATTTGCTATTTTTGTAACAAACTAAGCTGTTAATAGAGTTGTGTATTAATTTGATAAATAAATAATCATAATTATAGTTATATAGAACAAAAAAATATATAAAGTAAAACAATTATGATTAAACAAACAAAATTGTAATTTTAAATGAAGAATCAAATCATAATTGTTTTACTTTATATAATCTTTTTGTTCTATATAATTATAGTCATAATCATTTATTTTTGTAATTATAATAATGATTGTTTTTATATATAATTATAATTTTATTTGCTACAATTATGATCATTATTATAAGAATAAATAATCCTGACCATAATTAAAAAGAAAAAATAGTATATAAAGTAAAACAATCATAATCATAATTGTGATTAAAACAAACAAAATAATAATTTTAAATAAAGAATATATCACAATTATAGTCATGATTGCAACAAATAAAATTATAATTATATATAATCATACACGAAATATATAAATACTCTAAATTTGTGATTAAAAAAAAAGTTAAATTAATAAAATTAATAAAATCAAACCAAAAAGAAAAAAAAAACAAAATAACCTCCAAAACTGTATTCAAACCCAAAGCTATATCTAAATCCAAAATTACATCTAAATTCAAAGTTATATCTAAATCCAAAATTGCATCTAAATCTAAAAATATATCTAAATCCAAAAATGTATCTAAATCCAAAATCATGTCTAAGCCTAAAACTGTAACCAAACATACTATAACAAAATCAAAACCTCAACAAAATTGAACTGCATATTTACATGCTATTGAGTTTGCTTTTAAAACTTTTGCTAGCTCTAAAAAACTTAGCACATGGGAAACTGTATTAAGATATAGGGTTGCTGAAATAACTTTAAGACATGCTAAAAAGAATAGCTTGCCCAACTGTTCTGGCCTTTTAACAATTTTAAGCACTCATGAAAAAAAGCAGTTAGTAGGCTTTTGTTTGAATATGTAGAGATTAGGATTTGGTCTCACATGATCTGGTGTAAACCATTGTGTGATGAGTATTTTAGAAAGTAAAAATTGTGATTATCCTTTTAAAAATAGTAAACCTAGTAGATATATTTTATAAAAGACTATTCTGAATTGTTTTTTTGTACATCTCAGACCTTGTCAGAAACATGTATGCAGAAAGCCAATCCAACTATTATTAAAGATTACTTTGATAAGCTTTATAAAATAATTAAAGAACATTTACTTACTATAAACCAAATCTAAAATATGGACAAAACTGGTTTTGTTATATGCCTGAAGATACAAAAAGTCATTGCTAAAAAAAACTCTTGTCAAATCTACAAAATTTTATATAAAAACTCTTATGACTATATTTCTGTTACTCTAACAATTTCAGCTACTAGCAGCTATATTACTCTGAATTATTTACAAAGGCATTCACACAATTCCCAATTTGTTAGATGGTACCCTGGCTAGCACTATTATGGGCTTTACCAATTCAAGTATATGCATGAAAAATTATTTCAAATATATATTGAACATTTCATCAATTATATTCCTCCTTGTTGTCTAGTTCTTCTTATACCTTTTTTTTTTTTTTTTTGGTATTAAAGTAAGACCTTGCTCATATCTTTATTGAGTAGTTTATACAAGTAATTATATGGTAACAACTTAATTTGTATGAAAACAAAGATTATATAAACTATATGCAAGAATGAGAGCTCAGACTAAAAACTCAGCTATTGCTAAATTAGTTATCTGTGACCTAAACCTACTAGAATAGTCAAGACTTATCTAGATTTTAATAGTTAATATTTGGTTTGTATGTATGCTAAATTGAATCCACACCATGAACCACTGGTCAAGTTCTTCTTATACTTGATAGTTATAAAAACCATATAAACTATATATGTATTAATTTTTGTTATGAAAATAGCATTTTGTTAGATATGCACTCATCTCATATAACCCACATTTTTTAACCTTCTGAGCTCTTTTTTGCTAAACTTAAAACTAAATACAGTAAAGCTTGCACCAAACTTCACAATAAAACTAGCAAGCTAGTTACAAAATACATATTTGCTAAAATGTTAAAACCAGCATTCACAAGTACTTACACTACTAATGCAATTATTAATACTTATAGAGTTACAGGATCTTGGCTTCTTAATCCTAGTGCTATTAGTTCAGATTATCTTGCTCTCTCTCTATCTACAGAACAAATTAATATGTCACCTTCATTTCAACAAACTGACCAAGAATATTCATCAAATACTATATCATATTTTCAACCAATTTATATATCATTATCTTAGCTAGTTTATATATCAAATCTCAACCGATTTATATATTACTATCTTAACCAATTTTATTATTTTTCTATATTATTTCAACTAAATTATTATTCTTCTATACTATCTTTCTAGACAAGTTATTATTCTGCTTAAGCTAGTACTACAAGAGAGATTAAATTCTTTAAAAAAAAAAATATGATATTAAAAAAAAAACTTGAGACATTTAAAAACCCTGAACCTGCTCACTAAAATTAGCTCTTAAGTATCCTGCTTTTCGAGCTCCAATACAAGCCAACAAATCAGAGTTCCAACAATCAAAAAAAAAAACTATCAACTCTCCCCTGCAGATCCTCGTACCAAAACTGAGCTAAAGATAAATGCAAAATAGTTAATCAGGAACACTAGAAAACAAGTCTTCAAACTCTAGAAAAAGAGAAGCAGCACCAAAAGTTGTACTAGACTTAACAAACCCAACCCTTAACTAAATACTTAAAAGGAAAAAAGTTGGCTTTTTTGTAAACTCGACAAAAAATTTTACAAAAAATTTTTATTTTTGGGAAATCGGCCGTGACCCTGTTTTGCAGATCTCGCTGCAACAACAAACAACACGTAACATAGCCAGCTTCAAGTAAACAGAAGAACACGTAAAACAACTAATTAACACGTACTAAAAAGGAATAAACAATAAGTAGTACAAAGTATACAGAGACAAGCCACTCACGTGAAGAACTAGAACATAAATCTAGCCTGGAATAAAATGGAATAGATCAAAAAATTTCAAGAGCTTTTTCACAAACCAGAAAGTGAAATTTTAAATTTTTTGCAACTCATTGCAGTATAGTTTTCGAAAGAGATAAACAAGTCACAGAGTTCCTGGGCATTGCTCACCCTGGAACAGTATATATAATTAGATTAGCATCTGAGATTTTTGATTTTAATCAAAATAAAGTTAAAACAGAAAAGAGCATATGGGAGGAACTGTGTGTGGAAAAAAAAAACCAGGGAAAGTTCATTATACAATTAAGCAAGGAAATTGCAGTGAGCCTCCAAGAAGCTGGTACAACAGATTATGGTATAGAGGAAATAATGGCAAGAGTAACCAATGTGTTAGAAGCAT